GTCGTTTGAAGAAGAATCTCAATTGTTTTGATCTGAAAAGTTTTAGAAGATTCGGCAATATCCACGATTTTCGATATTAACTCCTTTTGAAAGTTTCGCTTTCGTCCTCTGGGGTTTTCTGCAAAGGAAACAAGAAATTTTTTCGATTAGCTAAGACAGCTCCAAAATAAAACAAGTAAGAAAGTCTAAGTTCGGGCGGAGCCGAACATTAAATACCCGGCGCAAGTATTAAATATATGTTTTTTCACCTTTCCGAAACCTTCCGCTAGATGGTAAGCCGGGGTGTAACAATTTGGAGTAAATTAAGGTCCTCCATTTTCGAAATATTGAAGTTTCAAGCATTTTTGAAATTTACCGTTATATGAAAAGCGGCCGTAATTTTAGTCCGATTTCAATAATTTTCAACGTTTTGCTTTTATGTGGCAAGCACAATAAAAATACTGAGTTTGGTACAAATTGGTAGAACGGTTACCGATATATATATATGTGATCATAAGTGGGCGGTGCCACGCCCATTTTCCAAAATTTTACCATAAGCGTATTTTTTGGTAAAGAATTGTTGCAAGCATCAATTTTGAATAAATAAGCTTCAATATTTACTGATTTATCGAAGATTTTGTATTTCTCTAAATTACCGTTATATGGGATGTGGGCGTGGTTATCGTCCGATTTTAAAAATTTTCGGTGATTTTGTATGCTGTACCAAGGCCAACAACTGTGCTAAGCTTGGAAGAAATTGGTGCAGCGGTTACCAAGATATACACATGTAACCATAAGTGGGCGTGGCTACGCCCATTTACCAAAAATTTATAATATTCTTATTTTTCGTCTAAAAATTATTGTAGATATCAATTTTGACTGAATTATCTTCAGTACTTAATAAAATATCTCTGTTTTCGTTTTTCTAAAAATTACCGTTATATAGGATGTGGGCGTGGTTATCGTCCGATGTTTTAAATTTTCGGCCATTTAGTATGCTGTACCAAGGCCAACAACTGTGCCAAGTTTGGAAGAAATTGGTGCAGCGGTTACCAAGATATACACATGTAACCATAAGTGGGCGTGGCTACGCCCATTTACTAAATATTTATAATATTCTTATTTTTCGTCTAAAAATTATTGTAAATATCAATTTTGAGTGAATTATCTTCAGTAGTTACTAAAATATCGCAGTTTTCGTATTTCTGGAAATTACCGTTATATGGGAAGTGGGCGTGGTTACAGTCCGATTTCGCCCATTTTCAATACCAAGCTACCTTGGGTTAAGGGAAACCTACGTACCAAATTTCGTTGAGATATCTCAATTTTTGCTCGAGTTATCGTGTACACGGGCGGACGGACAGACGGACAGACGGACGGACAGACAGACATGGCTTAATCGATTTCTTTTTTCACCCTGATCATTTATGTATACATTTGTCTATATCTATCTCGATTCGTTTTGGCTGTTACAAACAACCGTTATGTGAACAAAATTAATATACCCTTGTGCACAAGTGCGCTCGGGTATAAATATAATATCTATGTATAAATAACATTAAAAATTCTCGCAAATGTACGATTTAATTTAGAAAGGTCTACAAAGTTGCACACTTAAATATTTCCGAAATTTCTGATTATAAAGTTTTTATGAGACAGAAGAACGTCCAAGGAATATTGAATATCTAGGTACATATATTACAAGAAATGTGTGTTCATGGGCCTTATGAATAAAAACTTAGCAATTGCTTTTTCTTAAAATTTCTGACCCTTTAAATTTATTTGCAGAAATTGAGAAAAAGGTCTGAAATTTTAAGAAAAAGCAATTGCTTAGTTTTTATTCATAAGGCCCCATATTTACTTCGCCATTGGTGTATGTACATACCAAGGAAACTTGCGTTGGTTGTGGTGGAAATCTTTTGATTGAATATCTTCCACGCCAGTAGTGTTATCTTCACTTAACGAAAATTAATTAATTAATTCTCTTTCTTTCCCATAATAAATCGTGTAACTCCCTATTATGTGATGGCTAAATAACTTAACTAACTAACTTCCATTTGCCATTATAAATTCCATTTTAGATTAACTTTATGCTGTTAAGAAGCTAAGTAATTTTCTTTTTTCTCGAAATTCGCCTGCCAATGCTGAGCATGCGATCAAAATTGAAAGTCACTTGAAAGGAGAAATTTAAAGCAAGCTTCCCATTTAAGTAGTCAAATAAGTGTGTCTTAAAGATCAGTTATGCAAGACTTAGACTTGACTTGACTTGACTTGAAAACTGTACACATATCTTGCAAATGAGCAGCGCGTGTATGTAATTACCCAAAAAAA